CAGGCCCTCATTTGCTGAGCCTACCCACAATACATTTATTACCTCTACTATCTCAAAAGAATGTAAAACCGGTGTTATTTAAAATATCTGGGAAATGTGTCCCCTTCTTTAACAGCCCTGTTACATGTTACACTGTGAGTGGCAAAAATGTTGATTAGCTTAGTGCTAGCTTGGAGGAGTCACACCTTTAGTCTAGAAACCTTCTCTAACTGCCCCCCACCTGCGCAGCTGTGACTTGTCACTACAGGCCTGGTGAGCAGGGGGGTCCCTATAAGCCCTACTGTCTATGATTCTGTATGCCTCTAAGGCTCAGGCTTAGAGGGCAAGTGCCTGGCTCCTCTGGGCTAGCAGAGGGAGGCTGAGGCTGTGCTTGCTGCAGGGTGGATAGGAGCTCATGAAGGTACAAACCAAAGCAACTCCCCTGAAACCAAATTAGCAGCTGACCCCTGGGACCATTTCCATGGGGTTGGGGCTTGGCACCAGCTGCATTGTGGGGGTCCGGTGCTTCCAGCCTTGGCAGGAAGGCTGAGCTGCGCCCATCCCCTGTTGGGGGTGGCTGTCCCCATGATCCAGATCTGGAGTTGGTCAATAGTTTGCTGGCAGGCAGCTACACCTGCTCCGGTGCAGAGGAAGGGAGGAGAGAGTATTGCAGAGGCAGTGGGGCTGGCCAAGGCATGCCAGCTCCCCCCAAAGTTGGCTTCACTGCAGCTGGAAACAAAGTACACCTGCAACCAGCTCCCACATCCACATGAGCAGCAGCTGAGCCCCATGCTTACAGCCCAGATCTACCTGCAGCTGCCCCACTCCAGAGCAGCAGCTTCCCTGCCAAGTCTCCACCCCACAGCAGCTGCCGCCAACTCGCACTATGCTGTATGTGGATCAGGTACATGAAGAAGAGCACTGTTAGAGCTGTGTGGCTAGAGCTCTTTGCCTAGCAAGGGAGATAAGGAGTGAGCCCCAGCATTGAACTTGGCTCCTCTTCACAGAGGGTGGCAATAACTACAAGCAGCCAGAGCCAGGGAAGCTGCTTCTAAACACCACTGGGAGGGGGGCCGTGGGGTCCAGAAGTGGCCACCTGCCCAGACAGGCTCAACACGGTGGGGGAAAAGTACTCTGGGCTGCCATTCCTGGACTAGGGGCCTGGGGGCAATAGAAAAGCTGTGGCTCCAGTCCCTGGGCTGCTCCACTAAGCAGTTAGGGGTGAAAGCCCATAGAATAGGAGAGTAGGGAAAGGATGACTGCATCCTGGGATACTGGAGGACTTGAACTTGAGCAGCACTTCTGTGGGGAGTGGCCACACGTTAATGGAACAGAAAATGGGGTGTGCAGGTCAGAGCTACTCCTGCCCTTGAGTGGCATAATTTTGAGCTGCATAACAAGAACTTTAAGCCACTTAAAGGTGTTAATGGGAAGATAATCCAGGGGTTATGAGCTCCAGGAGCTGCCCAAAATTAATGTGTAACAAGGCCCTAAATGTGAGTAAAGAGAGGGTAGTAAAAACGGTGTTAATTTGTGTTTGAGAAACATTAGACAGTCTTAACAAGGAGACACCAACCATGTGAATTTTTTTGCCTCAAATGCTGCCAAGTTCCATGTTATTTGTTACCTCATATGCTCGCATGGAATAATGGAACTTGCTTTCTCTTTCCAGTATGAGTTGTCAATTCCCATCTTAATTCTGTTTCAAATATTTTTGGCAAGCCCTGGTTGGTATCTCAGAATACTGAAGACTCATTCCATGTCTTGTTGGCTAACCCATGGCTTTGTGTTCCCATATGTTAGGTGTGATGTTTTGGACATATTCCAACATGTGTAATTACTGTATAAGTTTGCAACCTATGGTTTTCCAAATTTTCAATTTGACTCAAGTTATTTTTATTCTATTTCTATTCATAAAATAATTTGAGTATGACTGTTAGCTGGTACAATATGCTACCATATTCTATACCAGAAGTGACTGCTTTTTAATGTTGATAGGGAAAGGAACTAGATCTAGATCTAGAATAGTTTTATAGAAAGACATATATATTTATATCCTTCTGGATGAAAAGTGCAATAGAAGAGAAAGTTGTTATCAGTATTCTGTAAGGACTAGGCTCAGTGAGGCTCATGCCCTGCAGCCTGATTAACTGAATTGGCTGAACCCAATGAACTAACCAGGAAAAGCTAAGCCCTAGCCAGCAGGGACAAGACCAAATGAGGCTTCTACCCTGTGGCTGGAGTAACTGAACCTAACAAGCCTTAGTCCCTTCCCTCTGGTCCTGAGTCTGCTCTTAGGAACCCCTCCAGCACCTGTGCCTTGCTGCACAACTTACTGATCTTTGTATGGCTCCTGTCCTAGTAAATCCTCCATCTCCCTGACTCCCTGAATCCTAGTTAACCCTCTGGACTTCAGTTTGACCTTGGCCTACTTCCTGATCTCTCATTCCTGGTTAGTCCTCCGGTTCAGCTTCGGACTCTTGTCTTCAGTTCCTGTCCCTGGGCTTAGAACTGAGGTTGCCCTTGGTTGCTCCAAACCCTAGTTAATCCCTGCAAACGTACTAGTCCATACTCCTGTCCCCACCTGCTAGGCATGACTGTCATTGTGAACCATGAAATATTCTTGTATATTAATGATATTTTATTACTGCATATCTGAAGTCACTGAGAAGGGAGAAGCCAGAAGGAGCTCTCATAAGAACAGCATGTTTCGATTTTCCTTCCTCATTAAATTGATATTTTTGGTGCCTGCTGGTATCATCTTTTTCTTTCCACTCTTTTGAGTTTACGACCTCTCTACAGTGGCTGTGTGATCCTTCCCATACTGAATAAGTCCATAAGAAAGACAAATAGCAACAACACATTCCATCTAAGGATCTTTTTACAAAAATAAATGAATTAAGGGTGAAATTACATGCTACATTTAGACTGTACTAAATCTACTGAATTTAATGTTAAAGTTAAAGTGTACTGTGAGCAATCACATAGTTAAGGGTGAATACTATTTCTTGCTTGCATTGTGCGACTTGCCCCTACAGGGCTGGTGCACAGTGGTGTTGCTTGAGGGTGGTGGCTGGGAGCAGTGCATCCTGGGATACTGGAATACTGCAAATTGATCATTATACCTCTGGCTGCTTGCAGATGTTAAAAAACCAAAACAAAACGTGCTTTACCAAAAGAAGCAGCACATTATTTTGACCAAGCTCTGCAGTGCCTTTATAGATTGGACGCTTCAGTGGGGCTTTTTGGCACTTTTAGCTAAAGGTGATTCAATCAGCTGTTAGAGAAAAGAACCAAAAAAGCCCCAGTAAAGCCCCAGATCCATACAGATGTTGGGCGAGCCAGGTACCACTTCTTGTGGGCATGCATGGGGCTTGGCATAGGAACGTGCCAAGTTTAAAGTAAAGCCGCATTTTTGGTTTCTTTGTGTTTTTTTAACATCTGCAAGCAGACACTGTGGAGCAGACTGAAGTTATCCTAAAATGAGCAAGGCCCAGAGTTAACCCTTGCCTGAAGTGGCATATCTTTGAGACACTCAGAGGGCACTTCATATAAGTTAACAACCTTTAATGGGCAGAAACTCATGTTTTAAATGTCCTTAGTATGGTCTAAGTGTAACATGAAGCTTCACCTTAAGTGTAATGTTAGGTTATCAGCATGAGGGACCCCTAGTTCTAAAAGCCATATTCTTATTGTTGTCATTAATAACAATATTAATTATTACATTCATTTTATTATTATTATTCATTAATAACAATAATAATTATTATCCTCATTTTCACAATGGGAGGGGAATACTGGAATTCACAGAAAAAATTAGGGGCAGAAACAGGATCAGAAAGCAGATCTTATTTTCCATGGACAGCTTCTTCACAATTCCTAATAGCTGAGATGTATTACATAGTAAGGCATGAGGTTTTATAACACTAGCAAAACTATTTTTTAGAATGTACAGTGATAATGATGGATATAAATATCCAGTCCTTTTGTGACTATAAGGGCTGTGAAGCTATGCCCAGTACTAGCTGATGAAACCTAATCAGATATCTACAGTTTTTTCAGTAAACCTGCCTACCTACATTTTCCTCCAAGTTTCAAGTGGAAAAGGTATTTTCAGCTCCCTAGTCTACATTACCATATAAAGAGAGAGGACTTGTACTTCAGTGGGGCACTAAGAGCATGTTGCTTATATATCCATTCAACTACAAAGTACTATTAGATTCTTAGAGATGAAAGGCACCAACATCAACACAAAACCATTATCGTGTAATTGCACTTGTGCCTTTCTGAAGGCATGTTGTCAAAACTAATTAGCACCCTTTTGATTTTCAGACTGGAGGTAGGCAAAAATCTGCAGGTAGGGCTGTACGATACTCACAAGCTGTACTGTCTTGTTAACTTCCTCACACGGGAAACTTTTATTTCCTGCTTTTCTGTAGTGTTGGCTGACGGTGTAGTTTCAGGTCGCACCAAAGCTGGACTCCTGAGAGAATAACAAGAAAAACAAACAAGGTAATGTCTTTGCTTAAGCTATTTTTACATATATTAGCAAATTCTAATGGAATGGCATATAAAACCTGGGAATGTGAAATCTCTGAACAATACTATGCAAGCTTTCACTACTAATGATTTCACTCAAAAGTACAGTATTTTAGTAAGGACTTAGCTGTATTAATACAAATTATACAATTAGGGTTCGTGATCCATATTCAGGCATATTCAGCCAGGCTCTCCAAAGTGCTGAGAAACATGATCTCAATTTTTTTTAAATCTTGGTGGTTTTGCCTCCATTTCCCCAACTGAACAAGTATGAGACATGGAGCTGGATTCTTATTTTACTTTTGCACCAACAACCGAACTCAAAATCAAATTTTGGTTTTAAACACTTAACCTGTATGATCTCAAGGACAATGAGGTTTTCAAAGACTTCACTGGATAATAATCTGATCATTGCATTGGCACAGGTATAACTGATAGCAGATTGTGGTTTGCAGACTGGTATAGTACTGTTTTTTATTCATGAGAATAAGCCTTCTTGACTTTCAGGTTCTATACCGATTCCTATATGGATGGCAATTAAAAAAACAAAACAAAAGACAAAACAGCTCCCCCTCCTCTGCTCCAAATCCCAAAGCCCTCATCCTTTGAATTATGAAGTGAGTAAAACTGATTTGGAAACCATACAAATACCACAAGCATAGAAATCCAGAAGGGCATTTTTCGCTGTGTTATATTTCAGAGTAGATCCACATTTTAAGCAGTTTTTTGAACATCTATTTAAAGACTGAAAGCAACTTTCACATTGGAAAAAAGTATTAATTAGAAAAAAAAAGAGCTATTTTATTGTACACGTTAATACTCTCCATTTTAAGAACTGCTGTGGGGAAGACAAATATTCCAAAACATACTAATAAAAGAATCTAAGGGTCAGAGTCTCAAATGATATAAATTGGTGCAGCCCCATTGTCTTCACCTGACAACCTTAATATATATAAATTAAGGATCTGGTTCTGAATGAGCAGTCTTGTCATTTTTTAAGTGATTTCCTGATAGAACTTTTATAAACTTCATTTAATAAAAACAGTTAAAACAGAAGCAGAAATAAATAGTCAAGTCAAGTAAAAAATGACCATAGGAAAGCAGGGCTGGAAGGGACCTCAAATGGTGATCTAACCCAGCCCTACGACTCAGGGCAGAATTATGGTGACACTATGAAGAAATCACTCTCCAGTCTGTCTCACTGCTGTAAGCAGACTGCCCAGCCCCTCTGTGTTCAGGCTAGTGAGCATACATGACTGGGCGGTAAAAAATTCCATTGGGAGGGGGGAACTCGCTCTTTCTTTGTCCAGGAGTTCCTGCCAAACAACCTGTTTGACCCAGGTCATCCCACCTGGTGATGCTGATGTCTTTTAAAAAGCATCAGTCAGCATCCAATGGGCCTGCTTCTGGTTGGGATTGAGTGATGAGGTCACAAAAGGTACAAGAAGAGGGGTCACTCCATCTTGGAGGGGGGCTTTTTCTTGGGAACAATGAAACAAGTAATAAGCCTCCAGAGAGTTCTGTCAGTCTCCAGATGAACATGTGAGTAATTTACCTGAATTTTAGCTAGTAATTTAGGATTAAGTGATCTAGATGTGCATCAAAAGCTTAACAAGCCTGTTCTGTTTTGTTCAAGTTGGTTTTCTTGCACTATTCCATTGTTTTGTATTCCTTCCTCCCCCTCTCTCCCTCTTTGATCAATAAAGCAATCTGTTATAGCACTCCTTGCTCTGTATGCTTAAGAGGGAGAGACTAACCTTACAGTTCCCTTTGCCTGGCTGGCTAACTTGGGTACAACTTTTTTACTTTCCTCCTGTACAAGAGGCTACTGGTGAATGCTCCAGGATAAAGGAAGCATTCCAAGGTGCCACGGTGGGTTAAGCACCCCCAAGGTCTACAGGGTCTGTGTACCCTGGGTGGCACAGAGCCCTAATAAAGACCAGCGCCTGGGTGGCGGCAGCAATTACCCCAGGCTTGTGAGTGGGCTCCAGGAAGGGGGTTGGCCAGACACAGGTGCCCCAGGGCAGACACTCAAAGTGTGGTTTTTGGTTGGGCACAGTGAAGCCACACTTGCATAGTCAGAAAGTCCTTCATACTCTCCAACCTAAATTTCCTCTGCTGAAGCTTGAGGTCATTACTTCTAGCCCTGTCCCCTACTACAGAGAAAAGACCATATGAATCTCCTCTGTAATCATCCCTCAAGTATTAGAAGGCATTCACCAAATCCCCCCTCAGTCTTCTCTTCTCCAAACTAAATAACCCTAGTTCTTTCAGCTTTTTCTCATAAATCTTCCTCCCAGGCCCATAATATTTTTTGTTATTCTCTATTGGACTCTTTCCAATCTGTCCACATCCTTGTTATTGAAGTGTGGGGCCAAAACTAGACAGAGTACTCCAGGTCAGGCCTCATCAGTACTAAGTAGAGTAGAAGAAAGACTTTCCTTGATCCATAAGTGACATGCCTGTTAATACAACCCAGTATGCTGTTGGCCTTTTCTGCAACAAGAGCACACTGTTGGCTTATATTTAACTTCTGGTTTGTTGTAACCCCCCAGGTCTTTTTCTACAGTACTGCAGCCTAGCCAGTCATTTCCCAGTCTGTTTTTGTGCATGCAATTACTCTATCCCAAGTGCAGGCCTTTACATTTGTCCTTGCTGAATATCATCTAATTGTTTGTGGATCATTTCTCCAGTCTATCCAGGTCATTCTGGATCCCAGTCCTACCCTCCAGGGTGTCTGCAACTCCACCCAACTTGGTATCATCCATAACTTTGCTAAGTGTGCACTCAATCCCATCCTCCAAATTATTGATGAAGATATTAAACAATATAGGACCCAGGATAAAACCTTGGGGACCCCCACTTAATATCTCCTTCCATGTAGACATTGAGCCATTGATGACTACTTGTTGAGCTTGAGTTCAAAACCAGTTATGTATCTACCTTGTGGTATTTTCATCCAGTCTATATTTCCTTAGCTTGTTAATGAGCATGTCTTGGGAGACAGGCAAACTATAAATACAGAGAATAATGAACAAACAAATGAATGTATAATACTAAATAGTTCAGATATATTGTGAACAATTACAGAAAAAACTTGACCAAGAAATGGATGTTTTGGTTAGTGTGCAATTTCCCTTTTTTTTTTTTTTGTGGAAAAAAATGCTAATTGGAATTTAGATTTTTTTTTTAGGGTACGGAAATAATTTGCTTTGATGAAATAAGTTTCATTTTGATTTTGAGTATTTTAAAATGTCCTTATTTTTTAAAAATCAAAGGATATTTCAACAAAGATTGGTTTCAAACAGAAAGCCTAAATATTTCATGTTTAAAATATTAACATAGATGCCTCATTTTTTGAAAGATTCTTAAGAAAGACTGTAAAATGAGGAACTAGATGAACTCTGCATCTAGTTAGGAAATATTTCAGTATCCTCAAATCTGATTTAATGTCTCAATAAAAATTTCACTTGGAAAATTTCACTCCATTCTACATCAGATTGAAAATAGGAACACCATAGAGATTTTGCATAATAATTTACAAAAAGAACTGGGAAAATGCATTCAGACATTATGCTTGCTTGGATGCAGTAAATGTACCGGGGAAGAAGGAAAAAAAGGTAAAGTGCTATATCACAACCAAATATACTCTAATCTTTCTAACAAATGCAGTTTAGTTTTTCTTATGTGTCATAGCACACTAATAAGTGTTCTTGGTATATATTGCAAAAACAATGGGATTTTAGTGATGACAGCCATATTGCAGAATACTGCTATCATTTTTTGGTCAGGGACAATTCCAATGAGTATCTCTGCTAACTTCTATGTACTTGGAGATCAGACCCAAACAGTGAAGAGAACCTCCAACATTTGGCAAATCACCTGAAGGGAGATGCAGATTATTTGAAGTGTGAAATAGAGAGGACTTCATTCTTACTTTAGGTGGAAAGGAATAGCAATGAAAAATAACGCTGTATTTTTATGTCACTTCTGTTTGAAAGATCCAGGCCCCTGAGATATCAGACTGACTCTATTCCACGCCAAGCACAGAATCATATATGAAACTAATACTACCAATTGTCAGGAGATTAATTATTGCTCCCATTATCCAGAATTGGCTTGGTTTAGCTCCTGTTCTGTCTGTGGACACAGACCTCCACAATGGTTCCTGTTTAATTTTGGTCATTCTCCCTGTATGTTCCAACTGGGTGCATTTTTTCCCCGACTGGACATGTATGATGTTCCCACAGTTCACACATTGAATGCCAGTAAATACTGAGCATGATTAACTCTGAACTTGATTTGGTTCTTTAAAAAACAGCAGGCTTTCAACACAGTAGAAAGCCCTAAAAAAAGCACAATGACACCTCTGAAAAAGAATTAGGTTGAATAATTTCTATTGTTACCTTTTGAAGTTTATAGCAAGGGCATATTATCTCATATGAAAGGATATGGATTTTCAGAGAAAAACCTTGCAATTATTTTGGCTCTTTAAAATAGAGTCTTTATGTTCAGCTATAATCACCTTTCTTCTTATTTATAGTAACTGACCTGGGCTTGAACAAAACCTGAAGTGATAGAGGATGAGAACGACCCATGCTTTTAAAAAAGCACAGTGCATGACAATTTCAACATAAGGCACAATGGCAATGTTGTGTAATCAGAAGAAAGTATTTTTGTGTATGTATCCAACTGTTACATGAAAGAATAAGGAACCAAGACAGAGCCTCCTGATCTGGCAGGATGCATAAAAACCTGTCATTTTCTAGTGAGAATGACAACGACAAACATGAATGTCAGCATGCAATGACATGTCAAAAGAGACTGCCTGTAAAATTAGAGATACAGCAAGCTTCTGACCAAAGATCAGAGAGCTTTACTGAACCAGTTCCTTCACTCTTGCAGTCTATTCATTAGCCTTACAAAGAAAACACAAGTAAACAA